TCTTTCTAACATTCTATGCAGTTCTGTGTGATGTGCAGGGATGGAGGGACATTGTGGCCTTGTGATCAGGCAGGTTGCAGAAGGGTAGTGTGTAACAAGTGTGTTGTAGTATCTGAGGATTGCCTTGCAGAGGTCACCCAGCTTCCTGTGACTTTCAGGTGTGTTAACCTCCCTTTTATGAATTAATTCCATTGACTCAAACTCTGGATGAACTTCAGGTGTGTTTCCTGTCATTGGAAAATGACAAGATTTGAAAGTCCTCAGCCCTATTTTGTAAGTGCATATTGCCACCCCAATCACTTCTAACTCCAAGTACAGGGCTTCTACTTGTCAGGCAAGCCAGTCCTGAAACACCCTCTTGTGGTCATTGGGGGGTTTGAGCATGCCACCACCTCTGAAGTGGCTGGTAACTCTACTGCCATTATCCACCTCCACCTTGAGTCTCTAGAGCTTGGCCATGCCCCTGTGCATATCCTTCACACCATGTTGCAGGGATATTTCAGACAAGACACCTACCACTTCTCACAACTGCCCTTCAACTTTGCCACTGAGGAGTCCAGAGCTGCCTATGACACTGCAGCATCAAAGCTAGCTTCAAGTCTGACTACCTTTGCTAAGGTAGTCATTTTCCTTACTGCCCATACTGATGAAGACAGGGGGGATCTGTTCTCTGGAATGGAGAATAAGGTTCCAATAGCCACAGAGGTCTTTGAGGTAAGTCACCATTGTTTGACTGTCACTCCCATCTGACCAGTTGCAGTTTCTGCAAGGCCTTCTGTTACCCCTCTCCAACATTGTCAAGGGTGGAGACCTCATCTTCTTTGTATGTGGTTCTACTGTAAGGAAGGAGCAGAGCTTCCAAGGACTGAAGGCAGCTGTGCAACAGTAGGTTTTCTTTCAATGTTGGTGGTTATGGCTGACACCATATCAGTTTCAAGCCCAAGGTCCATGTTGCTTTTTGATGCTGAGAGACTTCAACTAGTCACCACCATTCCCTTCCTCATGAGTGTCCTTGACTCCACCCTTGTTCAAGGCTTCCATGTCCAAAGTGCAGTCAGGTATGCCCTGAATGACTGTGGTATGTTGGGTAGGCACTCCAACATCATCCTGATGTTGTGGCAGGAGAAGGTAGTGGTGGAGAAATTTGTCTGGACTGACAAGTTCATCAGGCCTTGGGGACAACAATTGCCTGCCCAGTGCCCTCAGTGTTATAGCATTCAGAAGTGGGAAGCTGGTTGTTCAGGGCAGACTTATTCCTATGAGTGCAAGAATCCTGGCTGTGGGAAGGACACACAAGGCACATCTCAGCCTCCCCAAACCTATACTATCTGCATGTCCAAAGGGGCTACCAAACTGACACAGGGAAAGGGGCAAACATCATCCTGGCTGTTGGAATCTTTGTAAAATACCCTACCTTGATACATATGATATGCATGTACTACAATCAAAAATAGCTGCTTTGTGTTTTCAAATTTCATATGACATTGAATGTTCAGAAAAAAAAGTAATTTCCTGCAGGACAATTCCTCCTTAAGTACTGATACACAACTGAGTAAATTTGCCCAATGTTAATTCCAATACAATGGCCAGATTGGTAGAGTTAACTTCAATACCACAGGATAAGGATAGGATATAGGATTTTTCCACAACCATGTGGGTTCAGCCAGCTAACTACCAAGGAAGTAGTGTACTGAGTAATAAGATTGGCCAGCCCCACTAACCCACTAGCAAGATATTGGTCTTTCTTGCAAAGTGTCTGCCCAACCACAACTCCAGGTCATGGTTCATTCCCCCCAGCTACATCAGCTGACCCCACTTCTAGGGCACTAATTCATCCCATAGCTGTGTCAGCCAACCCCACTTCCAGGACACTAACCTATCCCATAGCTGCATTGGCTGACCCCACTTCTAGGGCACTAATTCATCCCATAGCTGTGTCAGCCAACCCCACTTCCAGGACACTAACCTATCCCATAGCTGCATCGGCTGACCCCACTTCCAGGTCACTAATCTATCCCATAGCTGTGTTGGCTGACCCCACTTCTAGGTCACTAATTCATCACATAGCTGGGTCGGCCAACCCCACTTCTAGGACACTAATCTATCCCATAGCTGTGTCAGCTGACCCCACTTCCAGGACACTCAGCTATCCCATAGCTGCACCGGCCAACCCCACTTCTAGGACACCAATTCATCCCATAGCTGTGTTGGCCGACCCCACTTCCAGGACACTAACCTATCCCATAGCTGCATCGGCCGACCCCATTCCAGAGTGGACAGTCATAATTGTCAGGGTTTAGTAGGTCTGGCTCAAACCAAGCCAGAGCCATACCCTTAAGATAAGACTGAGTGAAGGTAACCTTCACCCTGTTGGAGCAGAATGTGCAAGGGCAGTCTTGAAAGTTTAGCTCACATTGTATGAGGAACTCACAGAGTTTCTTAGGGTCAGAGCCATTGAAGGTGTTGGGCTCATGGACTTTGGTTTTTAGAGCAGAGTCCCCAGTGTGCAAACTAGACCACACAAGCACATGGACAGCTCTAGCAAGAGCTACAAGAGGATCCTCTGGCAGCTCAGCCAGGTCTTTGGGGATATCCCCATCACCACTGCCCCTGCTGTTTGGATTACCATCAGGATAATCAGGGTCAGGGTCAGGTCCATCATCTTGGTTATGAGGAGATGGAGTATGGAAGTTTGTTGGGTGGAGGTCAGAGCAACCAGCTTGTGAAGCACTTTCACCTTCAGTGCAAGAGTGGTGTCAAGTGGAGAAGGATTGGAATTGTTTGACAATGGAAGGGAGTCAATGTGGATTAGCTAGCACTGCAGTGAAGTTCTCAGTGACCTCTCTCTGGGATTGAGCTCAAGTTCTCATAATGGTGTAAGTCTTTTGGGAGACAGAGAATGGGATCATACAAGTGTGAGTATGAATATACTGTCAAGTCCAGGCCTATTCTGACCAACTCTAACACTAGACAAGGTCTGGGGAGAGGTTCAGAAGCAAGTCCAACAGAAAGAACTGTGCTCTGACTGGTGGAGTGTTGGCAGGAACAAAGTCCACCAAGATAAAGGCAGAGCAGAGTGAGGGTGTTGTGGGGCACTACCTCTGGGTAGCATGTGAATAGGGGAAAGCTGTAGGGGAAACCCCTAGGATCAACCCAAGGGGTGCTGAGTAGAAAGGAGATGTAGAGTGTGATGGTAGAGTTGGTCAAAGAGTTGAATGTAGGGCACAGAATTTAATTCTGCAGAGTTGGAGGTAGGAATAAACTTGCTTTTGAAATTCCAGGTGATGATCTTGACCCAACAAAGTAACTCTGAGATAAATTAAGTGCACAGGAGGGGAAATGAGACACAGTAGATGCAAGGACACAAAGACATTTTGAAGGATGCTGTAGGTATCCTCAGTAGTGCAACAAGCTACTGATGTATTAGACCAACCTGTAGGTATCTACAGGATATCAGTAAGTATAATACTGGTAGTGAAAGTGAGCTTACCCTCAGTAGTGCAACAAGCTACTGAGGGAACAGTGAATAAACTACTGTAAAATGTGCGCTCTAAGGTGATTATGTAAGCACCCAAACATCGCACCAAAGTGAGCAGAACACAGGGGAGAATATATCTCCAACAAGATGCAGAAGACACAGTAGATGCAAGGACACAGATATGAAGCAGACACAGTAGACACAAGACTCTTTGAACTCTTTAGACCAGCATATGACATGGATTGTGAGTCCTAAAAAATGATGATTCTTTTTCATCACTGAGGTAGAATTATATAGTACATGGATAGTAAGGTACTGATTGGAGAATTGTGGGGCAGGTAAAGCAAAATTCCAAAAACAAAGGGGGCAATGTGTCAGATGTCAAGGCCATACAGCAACATGTGAAAACAAACTGTAAAGCAGTAACTGAGAAAGACCAACAGGAAAGACAGATATCTTCCAACAGGATGAGTGTACACTGTACTGTGGAGTGGAATGTGAAGGGTAGAGGCTGTAGATGCAAAAGGGGTTCTTGCATTGTGGAGAAAGGTTCACAGGAAAGGAATGAGAGGGGTAACTGGAGTTTTTACTGATGATCTATGTGGTTTCCTGGCTACATGGCAAGGCAAAGGTTGAAGCAACATGACTGCAGAATTCCAGATAGACATATGTCAGGTTGATGTTGACACAGAATTCCAGGACAATGATTGGTGTGTGTTACTGATGGACAGGGGAGCTCTGAAGGTTCAATGGGTGAGGTGGTGCACAAGGCAGATGCACAAGGCAGATGTAATAATTCTGAAGATGACATCCATGGTTAGTAATGGCAGAATTTTGGTGTTAGCATCCCTGTTTTGGCCTCAGGGAGTATACCACTCCCTACAGCATCAGGTTTAGCTTGTGTGCTACCCCCTTGCATGATCTCAGCCCTTGTATTTCAGAGGGAGAGTACAGATGGACAGCTGGAGGTAACTCCAACAGGCAGAAGATGGAGACAGAGGGAGTAGGAACTAAGTCAATATTCATACTGAAGAACAGCAGAGTACAATACATGCTTTTATACTACTAGGAGGTACAGTAATCAGAATCAGAACTGACATACAGAGACTCATAAAACTTCAAGTAAAACCTCCTAGATGATGAATGAAGGGTAGATGAAGGACACATGAACAGGTAACACAGAACATCCCAAAGAGGAAACAGTCCAGGCACTGGACCATGTGATGCATGCACTGTGGAGTACCTGATCACACACTGTCAGGGAGAAGTCTGAAGGGTAGTCACATGAGTCCTCAGAGAATGGCCTGCACAGTCTGGTAGGAGAGCACTACAAGTCCAACAGCAGTCAGAGTGGAGGTGACTTGTAAATGTCAGGGGATGGGCAGAGTTTGTGCAGAGTGAGTGAATGACCAGCGGAAAGGGGTGCAGAGTGAGTGAGGTCCTAGGACAAATGCATGGTCATGACACCCCCTGTGATTGTGAGTACATGCTCCAGAAGATATGACAGGCTGCCACTGCATGTGATCCACACAATATTGTTGCATTCCACAAGGCTTGTCTTGCCCTCTGTCTAAATGGTGTCATGGAGCCATTCTGGAAAGACTGGGGGGATACATGTCCCTCCCACTTTCTCACCCCCAATGCCCTGCACCAGTGGCACAAGTTCTATTTTGACCATTGTGTATACTGGGTAATCAATATCATAGGGGGTGAGGAACTCAATCACTGCTTAGCTGCCCTGCAGCTGAGGATAGGGACTAGGCATTGGGAAAATGGTGTCTCCACCCTCAAACAGTGCACTGGTCAAGAACACCATGAACTGGAGAAATTGCTTCCCACCATGGCAGCAGGGGCATTGCCAATGACATGCTTTGTGCCTTGTGTGCCTTGTGTGCCATCACTGAGTTCATCTTTCTTGCCCAAGGTATCTCCCATTATGATGAAACCATTCATAGTCTCAGTGAAGCCCTTCATGAATTCCACCATTACAAATCCAGCATTCTCAGGGCACATGGCCATCTTGGGGAGAATGGCCCCCTTGACCACTTTCAGATACCAAAAGTCAAACTAACTCAGCACATTGCATGGAGCATTCATCAGATGGTGCCCCTTATCAATGGAGCAGCAACATCACTGAATGTTACCACATAACTCATGTCAAGGCACCCTACTGTTTATCAAATCACCAAGATTACCATGCCCAATGTTGCCATTTCCTTGATTGACAAGAAAAACAATGCTTTTTCTGCCTCTTTACTGCTCTGAAATCTTCAGCATCACTGCTTTTCTTTGCAATGATGGACAAAGCCAGACTTATGGCAATTCACTTCCCAGAGGCTAGTTGGGTTTCTGGTATGTTATCCAGAAAACATCATGTTGACCCTGTCCACTTGCAGAAGTCCATATTCAATAACCCCCATTCACATGTATCTGCAACAAATGCCACAGTGCTTCTCCTTACTGTTGTAAACTGATAAGACATGCTCAGCATTGTAGACGCAAGCGCTGTCATTGACAATACCTGATAAGACACACTACAGGAGGTAAGTATACATGCGTGTCCTCAGGGGTTACCGTACCCACCTCAATGTCGTAGACACAAGCACTAAGGTGTAAACTAGCATAAACAGTTCTATAAGTACAAGAGCGCCTAACACGTGACCATTGACACCTACATGCCCCCACAGCAGGACACATGCAAATGGACAAAAGAAAGTCCAAACTAACATGAGTTCCATGCATAGAGAGAAGAAAAGAGAACAGAAAAAGGAGAAACGTTCCACATGCAGAGGAGGAAAAACAGAAACAAGAAGTGAGCAAAGTGACCATTGAAAACGACCTCCAACACCCCCTCAACGGGACACGAGCAAGAGACCAGCGACATGACAGGAGAAGGACGGATGAGGCAGGGCCTTGGTGAGGACATCAGCAGTGTTATGGGAGGACAGGATCCACTCAAGCAGGAAGGTCCCAGCTTCGATGTGAGAATGACAAAAATGATACCGCATGTCGATATGTTTGGTGCAATGGTTGTTTTCAGCCTTTCACAAGAGTGCGATCGCCCCCGCATTGTCAGCATAAAGACGAGTGGGGGGTGGCACCAGGAAACCCACAGACAGGAGGAAGGACTGAATCCACAGACCTTCCTGGATGGCTGCAGTGACCACCATATACTCGGCTTTGGTGGAGGACAGGGCCTGCATAGTCTGTTTTTTAGAAGAGTGGGCAACGACGCCCCCATAATAGAACCAACAATATCCTGTCACAGAAATACAATCCTTGGGGTTTGCCGCCCAGTCAGCATCACTGAATCCATGCAGAAGAGGACCACACGTGTGCTCCCCATAGTGAAGGTGATGATTAACCATGCCTGCAAGGTAACAAAGGACACGTTTCATGGCTCCAAGTAGATGTGCACTGGGATGGGAGAGATACTGTGAAAGACACTGAACAGCAAGGGAAATATCAGGACAGGTGCAAACAGAAAGGTATAACAGTTCGCCTATGAGTTTTGGGTAAAGAGACCTTAGGTCGGCAGGCTCAACCAGTTTTGCTGCCTCAGCATCAGTGAGAAAGGGATGAGTGGGGTCCATTGGAAGGTGTACCGGGTGGCAGTCAACGAGATCATACTCCTGGAGGAGGTGGATGATGTACTCGCTCTGGTGAAGCCACAGTTCGTGGGTGTGACAATTGCGTTCAAACTGGATGCCAAGGTATTTTGTGATGGGTCCCATGTCTGAGATGCCAAAACAGAGGTGTAAATGATGCTTGACCTCAGCGAGAAAACACTCGTTGTTGCTTCCACCAAGGCCATCATCAATGTGCCAGGCAGCCATGCAGATGACCTCTAACTGACGAAAGATGAACACTGCATGATCTACCTCACTGCACTGGAACCCCTGGCTCTCGAGTTCAGAGCGAAGTGTTTCATAGAAGTGGTAGGCGGCCTGTTTAATTCTGTAGGGAGCAGAATGAAGTAACCCAACCAACTCCTCACCATCTGGGCCATACTCCTCATACCCAGGTGGTTGTTTGATGTACACCCTCTCCTTGACCTTTCCATGAAGGAATGCCCTCTTGATATCCAGCGAGTGTAGTTCCCAGTCCTCTCTGGCGGCAATAGCAGCAAGGAGTCGAATGGAACTCTGCCTTGCAACCAGTGCAAACATCTGCCTAAAGTCCCTGCCCAGTACCTGAGTGAACCCTTTCGCAACAAAACGTGCCTTCTCAACTGGCCCTCCCTTACCGTCTCCTTCTTTATACTCCAACACCCAGCAACTTCCTATTGCGTGAGCCCCAGGAGGAAGGGGAACAAGGCTATAAACATTCATCGACCTTAGCTGATCTATTTCCTTATCCATGGCCACCCTCCACCTGGAGGCATCACTGCGATGGACCACCTCATCATAAGTAGCAGGGGGAATCGAGAGATCATAAGTGGGATTGGCTGGGTCACAGCAAGTATTGCTTCATAGGGCCAGGCAAGCATGTTCAGAGATGACCAAATCAACAACTGCAGCAGAGAGCAGACCTACAGAGGTGTCAGAGGATGAGAGATCAGACTCTGACAGCTCGGTTAATGGGGAAAGAGGGCCAGTTAAGTGGGTGTTACAACCAGAATCAGTTGTGACAGGGGGGGCAGTTGTGATGGGAGAAACAGAGTGGGCACAACATGCAGCCAGGCATTCCCACATTGCCTGAAGAGACTCAGTGAACGCCTTACCTGCCTCAGTTTGTACCCTGGTTCTGCCAGAACGACGCAGAGTAGCAGGGGGAGCAGCGATGGAAGGTTGAACCACAGTCAAGGGCATCGAGGGTGAATGAGACAATGAGGGCGATGGGGACGGGGGTCATGAGTTGTCAGAGTCCTCGTCCGAACCTGAGTCTTTGTTGGTCATGGATGATGGTCCACCAGCTGATGCATTCTCGAAGGGCAATGCATGAACATCTTCATCAAAAATGACATCCCTAGAATTAAAGAACCGCCCAGTGCTAACATCCCACACCCTATACACCTTGACCCCCAGTGGATAACCCATAAAGTGTACCAGTCTGGACTTGGGTCCTAATTTCTGCTGGAGTTCTAAAGGGATATGCGCATAAGCTCGACAGCCCCAAACCCATAAGTGACTGAGATCAGGTCGTGTGTGATGCAACATTTCATAGGGCATGATCCCATTCAGTAAGACACATGACCCTGTGCGATTATGTAGATAGGAAGCTGTGAGCATCGCCTCACCCCAGTAAGCAAGTGGGAGCTGAGCGAGATGTAACATGGCCAAGACACATCCCTCTAATGTGTGGATAACCCGTTCAGCAACCCTGTTTTGCTGGTGCATATATGGCGTGGATAAACAATGAGCAATACCCTGTGAGTTCAAGGACTGGATGAATGTATTACTGAGAAACTCCCCCCCATTGTCTGACTGCAGAGCCTTGACCATCATACCATGCTGCCATTCCCAGTGGGTCCGAGTGACCTCCCAGGCTTCAAGAGCCTGGTCCTTGCAGGCAAGCAGATGTATGTCCAGGATGTGGGTATAGTCGTCAAGGATAACCATAAAGTACAACTTGCCATGGAAGGTCTGTACCGGCATAGGTCCCCTGAGATCAGTGTGTACAAGCTCAAGAAAGGCAGTGGTATGGCTCTTAGAGGGTTTGAACAGTGAGCAAGCATGCTTCCCAACCACACAGGACTCGCAGATTGACTGCAGACAGGGGGAGCTAACAGTGACACCAGATGTGATCGAGGACAACTGAGCTACTGCCTTTCCGCCAGCATGGCCAATCCTGGCGTGCCACAAACCATATGTGACCGGGATGCAAGCAAAGGCAGTGAGGACTGGGCTGGTGGTGAGGGGTAGGGGTGCATCAAAGCGAATGAACTCAAGGTCCAGGAAGCAGAGGTTGTTTGACTGTAACTGCACACCACCCAAAGGACATCCACAGTAAGAGAGCTCACAGCATGCAGGTTCTCCCTGGAAATTACAACCCCAGCCCTGACAGAGCATCCACCCAACTGAGATGAGGTGCAGCACAGCCTGCAGCGCATGCAAACAATTGGTGAGTTGTACCCAATACTTATCACCACCAATGGATAGGAAGGCTAGACATTCGCCATGTCCAGTAGTAGGTAAGTGTCTGTGATTGGCCATCTGAATATTCACAGACGTGTCCGGCATATAGGTTTGAAAAAAGGCACGATTGCTGACCAGCATGCAGGAAGTGCCAGAGTCCAAAAGACTAGAAGCTGAGAGAGTGCCAAGGCATGCCTTTAAGGCTGGTGACAGCATAGGTGCATCCCCACCTTCGTCAAGCTCAGTAATAACCGTGCAAGTAAGATCCCCAGAGTGTGTGGTCCAAGGAGAGGCCGCAGAAGAGTCAAGTGCTGCTGCAGCCACCGGAGTTGACATAGGAGCGGGAGGAGCAGGTGTAGTGGGTGTGGATGCAGTGGTCACCACGGCCGAAGTAAGTTTGTCCTTTTCCTTATCATGATTGCTAGCACCACAAATGAGGCCCTTGCCAACAGGAGTATCACAGTAGGTGCCTGATGGATTGTTGCATGTCTTCTGGAGGCCTGTTGCTGGGTTTACATTGGGTGGGCCAACAGGCAAGGTTGCAGCATTAGTGTATTCAGACCCCACAGACGAAAAGGAGAGTTGTTGGACCAAATGGTGAGCCTCAGCCACAATCTTGACTGAAACACTCTCAAAAGTCACCGAGCTCATGGATAGTGCCATAGAAATGGAGGAATGGGTTGTAGAGGCAGAAGTCTTGGACACAGAGGAAACAGAGGTGCCTGTAGAGGCAGCAGCTGCAACAGTACAGGAGCTTTGTAGGAAGAGGCAGAAAGACAGCCAGGTGCCAGTCTCTGGAAGACCTTCAATGAGATGGAAGATAGCCTCCTCATCCGAGTAGGACACCCCCATGCAAATGAGGTCATGCCGAGCAGCAGAATGCTCTGACAAGTAACAAGCCGCATCACCGGCGTCCTTCATACACATGTGCAAGATCCTCGCTTGTACAAGGTGCCGTGAGCCAATGTCAACATGGTCAAAATTATCATGGAGAGCAACCCAAACATCCCGAGCAGTGGTAGACCTCTCCTGGGGAATGAGACGAAGAACAGCTGGCAATAAATGCCAACATAAAACATCCTTTGCCACAGCATCTGCCTTAGACCAATCAACTATCGCCTTCCACTCATCATCTGTGAGCTTGGCAGGATTCGCAGGTTTTGGGTTTACTGATGCAAACTCGATAGGGTCCAGCGGGTCTGTGCCATTGCTGACATGACTATATGCGCCCTCACAATCTAAGGCCAGAAGCACCTGTGTCTTCCAGGCAAAGAAGGTGGAGGCATCGGTTAACTCAGGGATATGATCAAATTTTCCCATGATGAACAGCGACATCTGGAGCAGCTGGGGGTAGTGAAGACATGTGTTAAAGGTGTATATATGTGCCTATATGCAGATGGACGAGTCATGTCAGAATCAGTGTTGAAGAGGGCTCATAACCTGTTGTAAACTGATAAGACACGCTCAGTGTCGTAGACACAAGCGCTGTCATTGACAATACCTGATAAGACATGCTACAGGAGGTAAGTATACATGCATGTCCTCAGGGGTTACCATACCCACCTCAGCATCATAGACACAAGCGCTGAGGTGTAAACTAGCATAAACAGTTCTATAAGTACAAGAGCACCTAACATGTGACCGTTGACACCTACACTTACTGTTCATCCTCACCATCCTAACCTGCTACTTCATGATGCCACAATCTATCTTCAACTCAACAACCTCATTCCTGCTCTCAGAGATTTCATTTCCAGTCAAACTTATATCGTTCACAGTGGTCATTGCTTCTCTACCTCTGACTGCTCCCTGCCTTTTCAGGCTGTGAACATCTGGGAGAAGTTCCAAATTCAATGCCAGTCCACTCAAGATGTGCAAGCTGTTACACCCACTCAAATGGTCCAGGCAGTGCCTCCAAGTGAAAGGCTGCCATTTGGACATGCAAATACTGTGTTGGTTAGCCATGAAAGTAGTAAACTTATTTCAGCTGATCCACAATCTGAACATGTGTAATGACAGTGTTGATAATGAGTTCTACTGAGTTTCTTTGCAGGTTACCTTGTGGCTCAGGTGTGAGCAATCTTGCAGCCCATCTGTGACCTCATGTTCCCCCTCCTGGTTTATGTTGAGTTCTTCAACTTCTCCAACCTGCACTACTGCATTGTTGCTCCTTCCATGGAAATAGAAATGTTCCTTGTTCAGAAATGCTTCTGATCTAATGGCCAGCCAATTGGTGATATCATTCCTCTTGACAGTGTACATCAGGTCATTCAGATCATCCCAAAGTCTGGTGTCAAGGCCCCTAGGGGGATGACATGCGACAACTGTCTGGATGTGGGGCATGAGTTCTACATCAATAGTTTTGTGGACAAAGAGACCTTTCATGCCATCCTGAGCTGCCAGTGATAGTAGATCCTCTGTTCTCTTCTTCACAAGTGTTTCTGTCCATGATGCTATCCTATGTACAATCAATACCAGACTGTTATTGATAAGATCTGAGGACTTTATCAGACTCGTCAACTGCACCATAGTATGATAAGTGTGTGCCATGATAGATAAACCCTTTTCAGAGACATTGGCTAACACAAGATTATGCTGAGGCCAATATCTCCCTAATGGAGCTATACATGATTTTTGGCCGGTAGAATCCAGTCAAAGCTGGTTGCTCAGCAACAAAATGGTGTTTTCTGGTTTCGTCGGCTACTGGTTCACTGATGCCTCACACTTCGGCTATACTATGCGAGCACTAGGGGCTTTAGGTTTAGTATTTAGCGATGTTTGTTTCATTCAACATAATGCTAGTCAGAATTTATCATCTTATTGTAGAAGTGACCGTTCACCGGAGCAGCATTGGGTGGGAATGAACTTTTTCCTGTTGGCCTGGACACATCTTGTCACTCGCACGATGTAACATCACAATTTGCAGCAACTCTACACGGTATGTGGTATCATTCTAAAGGTAACCGTGAGATGCAAGGTATTCAATGATAGTCGTAACGGCCTGGGTAACATCGCATTCATCCGTTCTGATATGAATGTCCGGATTCTCGGGAGGCTCGTAAGGAGCAGATATACCGGTAAAATCTGACGACAGATAGACTGAGCATCGTCGATGTATTTCGACAATAGCAAGATCGCCGACCTTTGATTTCCCCGGAACGAGCCTTCTTATACAAGCCTTTAGGGTCGCGTTGCTCGGCAACACTGAGTGGGGCATCCACAAAGATTTCGACAAAGCCAAGGTTGGCTTTCGTGTGCAGCTCGCGCACAGTTTGCCGGCATCGGTGATATGGTGATATGAAGGCTACGATAGTGAAGCAGTTTGCATCGCAGAATAGTTTGGCCACCTGAGATTATTTATTACATAGGGAATGAAGTTCGCCATATCACTCCGTAACGGAACACTTGCCTCTCCGATACGCCTAACGTTTTCCACATGAGAATCTTCATCAAAGCCGAGATCTTTGTTGAGACCAAAGCGGATGTTGTCTCCATCAAGGCGGTAGGTAAACTTCCCTTGGTGCAACAGGGTTTGCTCGAGGGCACAGGCGATGGTAGACTGAGACATCGGGGAGCATCAATATGACTGAGGATTCATGGCTGTGATGTTAATCGAACAGGGGAAGTACCTTGCCACTAGCGCTGAGGCCAGTCAACCAAATGGTGATTCCCTTCTGCTTGAGTAATTCCATTCTTTCGCTGGCGCTGATGGAGCCTGAGTAGCATAGCCATGTCAAATCTCACGGACCAAGTAGGTATCCAAGTGACACACCCGGGTGAAAGGTGATGTTGGTGGCCATAGGAAACAATCACTGCAGAAACGAGGTTTTAGTGGGGGGTGTAATCAGGTTCTCTAAATGTAGATAATCCGACCTTTTAGCCATTAGTCTGAGCAAAATCTGACTTGATCTGACTCGACGATTTCTGAGTAACATGTCCAAATAATCCCATGTAGGCGAGATCCGAAGAGACGCCTCTCTTCACTCCGTAGAGGCTTGGAAGGAGATTTGAACGTGAGAGTGCAGCTTCCACGTAATGCAGATCACGTGCCATCAGTATTTTAGCTGGCATTTGTATTTACAGGGAACTCATTACTGGGCAGGTTAACTTTAACGGCGTCCGGGAATACATATCACTATCCTCTATGACTTGAGCTGGCCGTTGACCAATTTTGTTCAACTTAGGCATGTTCAACTTTCTCAGCTTTCTCTTTGTCTCGTGTGTTCACGCGTCTCGTTCAAGGTAGTTGCTTCCATCTTTGTAATAATATACTGCAGACCCATCCTGATCACCAAAAATGCAGTCGTTCTGCAGTCGGGGTTGAACCTAGCAGCAAGATAGGGCTGACAGAGAAATCCGAGGAGGCGACCAGTGGAACTGTCGATAGAGCGCCGGCACCGATAGACATCCTTCCTGTCGGAGTACTGGCACAGATACTTCTTCATGCCATCCTCGCCGATGCCCATCGATGCGACGTCCATCGTCACAGGAAGCAGGAGTTAGCAAGCGTATCCCGTTGCTGGAGAGACACCATCTTCGACAATCCGACATTCTGGACGACCATCAATTTGACACCACAATGGATGCCGTCGCTTGTCGAAGCGCATGTACAGAGGAGCGGTTGTCTTTTTGTCGACGTCGAAATTGGACTCTGGAAGACACCTGAGGAGCTGGATACTTTGTCTATGCTTCTCAGCATCGCCATGCGTTGCGTGGAGAGATGGCGCAGCCTCATTTTTTATGGAAATTCAATACAGATGGAGTCCTATTTGAGACAAATGAAGGACGTTATATTCCCTTCTCTCGCATATCTCATCGTCGATGATCAGTTCAACCATCCATATTCATTTGGCTTTAAACCCAAAAACATGCCTGCTCTGGACTATTTAAAGATCGACCGTGTTACCGCTGTCGGTGCTCTTTCGTTTCCACCAAACCTCCGAATTTTGGAAATGAATAATTATCAGGCTCACGGCTTTCCTTCTCTCCGGCTGACACTCCCATCGGAGAAGTTAACTACTCTCGTTCTTCGTGGCGACGGATGGACCGTCGACCCGGTGACCATTCACTTCCCACACCTCGCATCGCTCACGCTCACCATTCCCGAGGCAAAACAGTTGCTGAATGACATCGTCGCTCCTCAGCTTCGGCATCTCCGTTACAATCATCATCCTGCTGCAGAAAATCCAGTATCTGTATTTGCTCAGCTTAAAAGCAAGTTCATCACTGTCACCGACCTTGACATCTGGCTAGGTGCAACAATCCGCAACACAGAGCTCGCGATTGTCGGACATGCTATTGCGGATGCATTTCCTAAGGTATGCCATCTGGCGTTAGCTACCACCAACCTTCCAGTATTCTTTGGGCAGTATGGTTCAGAAGAGCGGTCTCCTGCGGGCAAGTGGAGCCGGTTGGAATGCTTAACACTTCTCTGGGGAAGCCTTGAAAGTGACACAGGTGAACTTGTGTCATGGCTGCAAAGGCGAACTCCCAAGGGGCAAACCATGTTGCGTGTGCAGTTATCACAGGAGATCTCGGCACACACTTTCGCTACTTATGCGCACCACTCTCGGCCGTATCAGTTGCTACGTGAATGTTGTGTGCTGGAGCAGGGGGTCAATGTGACTGACTCTTTTGGGCCCAATATAGAGGTATGTTGCTCCTGACAACGACGTGCGTACAAAACTAAGTCTAGGTCCAACACTTTTGAAGCTCCCTCAATTTGTGCACCAATACAATCGTATTGCCTCGGCGCTACGTTCTTCTAGCGAGAGCTGTGGGAAGTGCTGGATATCGCCAGGCCTTTGGTAAATGTTCGATGTACCATGTCTTCCCACCGTACGGATTTTGTTGGAATTGAATGATGGTTGCACTGGTCGTCCTAGTCCCCAAACTCGAACTCATTTACGACTTATTGTCTCTGGCCGTGGAGCCGGTGTGGTACCATGAGACTGATTACATGGTAGATCACCAGCCACAGAAAATATCTACATGACTGAACCTTCTTCACCTCGCAACATTGCTCCCTTTAAAAGTCATGATCCGTTCGCTAGTTATCGTACATCGACAAGTAGGACAAGTACATTATTTGAAAGAAAGCAAGGGAAAGGGAAAAGAAAAAAAAAAGAAAGTAGGATAGGTCGCATTGGACGATCGGTATGTACTAGTGCTACGTACGTACATTCATTCCCATGTGTGTAAGCTTTCGTATTGAAGGTTGAAGGTATGTTGAAGGATGTGAAGAGTACATTAAAGTCGTCGACCCGGTACCGTGGTCATCAGGGCGTACCAGTCATGATCAACAAAACAGCTGTCGCGGGCGAGGAAGCCTGCCCTCTACACCAACGTGTGTGAAGGGCGCAAGAAGGAACACAAGGATGAAGAAAAGGTACAAGAACGGAGTTAGGCTCCCCTAAGATTTTGCATGTACTGCGCGCGTGCCCTCGCCATCGACTCTCTCAGCTCAGGACTTTGCCACGAACTTTCGTCTTCTTTAAAACTCGCCGCAATCGGTGTATGGTTCGAACCTCGTTCTGCTTCAGCAGATAATCCGCGAGTATGGGCGTGGCGAGGGGCAGTGGGCGTTGCAGGTTGCCAATATGATGAGTGGTGTGAGGATGCAAGAGGGAGGTGCGCCTCGTTCGCATCGTGTCTTCTTTTCTTAGGCGATGCGGTGCTCCTCAAACTCCTGATCGAACCTCTCCTTGATATCGATGGCACAAAAGATTCGGGTTCTTCTTCCCAATTACCCTCGCCATCGTCCATTTCGTCCTCTTTCGCGTCGCTCATGACAACGATTTCGCGGTTCAAAGCCTTTTGACCTTCTTCGATCAGCTGGGAAAGTCGACCGCCGATCCAGTCCATTTCGTCCAATTCGGCGTCTGAATCAACTCTCGCCTCCTCGGTTCGTTGAGATGGTGCAAGGTCAAATCCGGAGTGCAGGTGAGGAGGGGAGGAGAGTGTATGGTGTGGAGATGCGCCCCGAGCTGGGGGAGGTGTGCCAGCAGCACGTACACCGACACGTACCCTACGTTGTCGGACTACTGGAGTGCGACGTGCGGGTGTAGGGACGTGGTGTCGAGCTTTCGCAACGCGCTTGGTTTGTGGCGTGGGTGGTGTAATTTCTATCTGTTTGAGCTAATCGTAGGTAAGCTCGAAGCGACCACTTAGAGAGTGATGAGAGAACTCACTTGTGCAGGGGCGGCTGTCCAATTGCCGGGATGGTAAGGTGGTGGAGGTTGATCATCGGTAACATCGGTAATGGTTCTATTGGTATCTTTACCCCGGTCCCGCCAGCTATCAAATATGCTTTTTAGATGTCTCAGCGGGAAGACACACGAATAAATCGATCAACGCACAGTCTGTACACAGTCAATCCGACAGCTGTACCGATGAGTGCAGCGCTCAGCGCTGTAGACACGATCGAGCCTGCGAGCGTGCGGCGCCGTTTGGCGGGTGGAAGATCTACATTGATGATGATGAGTATGTTGAAGTGCATCAACGAAGGAGGGAAGGAATGTGTGCTATTGGTAGTGCGAGTGGGCAAGAGTTGAGCAAATGCTTGTTGAGAAAAGTGTGGTTGGGTTTAAATGTCGCGTAGGTAAGCGTAGGCGAACACCTGCCCAACACGTGCTGTGTGAAGGGACGAGAAGGCGTGCCATTACATACATGCATATCAAGTGTGCGCACGACATGCCCGTCACGCATACGCACATGATCTTGGGACCGAGGATGCCCGACCCTTCACACTCTGTCCCGATAGGAAAAGAGGTGGGTACACACATACCTGCGATCATCTCCTCGGTTTCTCTCTCTGGTTCTCTCTTAGGCATATGATTACGATATTTCGCGGGAGTATCAAGATACCCGCTGGTGGATGTATTGTTCGTGGTGGCTTGAGATGGTTCGGGACTGGAGGGCACCCAGCCTCGTTTGCGTGCCAAGGGAACGGGTGGTGAAAGTGAGTACGAGTGTGTGGCTGCCAAGGTGCGATGACGGTGTGGTGGAATGGGTATTCGACGAGCCGATATAAGAGCTGAGGGAGCGGTACTGTTACCGAACTGTCTGTCATCGACCGGTCTCTGGTGAGACCCGGATTCGGGATTGGATTGAGCAGCCAAAAATGGGTTGTTCAGCCCTGGCACAGATAAACGGAAAGTGAATGGAAACGGCATCCCGAGTCGTCGTCGTCGATTTTGTTCGTGTCAGTGGTCGTTCATAAGATGGTCTTGTAGTAAAAACAAGGAAGCTTGTGCCCTGGCTCGGTCGTCGATCAACCCAACCCAACTCGCGTGTAGAAGACCCCGTGGGAATCTTATGCCATACACGTGTCTCCGGCAAGTTTGCACGTCGGGATCCTCTTATCTCTGGGCAAGATTGAGACGTCATCCGGGGATCAGCTGGAAAATATCCCGGAGTGAACCAACCTCCATGGGAGATCCGCAACTTCATCCTCGTCATTGTACTTTTTCACACTATGGTCAGATTCATCTTCTAAGATCACCGCAGAGGGTGGTTCACATAGTTAATCGAAGGCAGTGGAACCTCAACAGGCTCCAACCGCAAATCACAACACTCCCTCAGCGAACCACAGTGGATCCATCTCCTTGCGGCCAAAGGAATCACCTTTAACGAGAACCCCTGCGTCTGTGAATGTCACCTGAATATGTTCCCCACTGTGTAGGCGCCTTCGAAGCCACATGATAGCATGATCTACGTCGGCGGAGTATTTCAGGTGGAAGCCATTCCAACGTCAAGCCTTTGAGTTGATCCCACAGGTCTGCGGCGACGTCTTGCTAGCCATCTAAACCAAAGAAGATTGGGATATCCCACGCTTGCGGTGTTACGTTGCGTACAGTTGGAAAGGCCGCTGCGATACTCGGAATGATTGATTTCTGACTCCAATGTGCAACCTGTGAAGACGAAATCTGTTACATCGGGGAACCTGCTCTCGAGCGAACTGAACACCACGATCGCCGGTACATTCGAAATGGAAGGGTTACAGGCAAAATGAGTGAGTTTCGCAGACGATGAAGTATTTGAGTTGAATCACCAATTTGGAACTGAAACAATGTAAGACATAAAGAGCTAAGCTCGACATTCAATTGACGATCATGTACGATGAGAACGAGTGTTGTTAATTCGCCCGATCGCAAGACACGTCCAAAATTAAAGTGGAGATCTTGGGTGTAATTGAAACCGGCCGGGTAGATTTGAGCCGTTTGGTTGTCAAATGTTCGAGGACGTGAGCTTTCTCCGGTAGAAAGAACGCAGGCTCTGAGCTCACTGCAGTCCTTCAACCCGCGAAAACAAGATAGTCACATTACGCCACCGTTCTGAAGACGAAAAGGCAGCAGCAAGAAACGTCCATAACTTGTCCTCCCGCGTATCCAAAGACAGAAGCAGATATAAATATCGATGAGACACGCACCAACTTCTTTGCACGTGTACTTTTACCTACGAAGGTGAATGTTTCGGGCACAGCTGGATAGAAGTCCAAAAATGAGGATGAGACAAGAGTATCCCGCCAGCGCCGCGACACACTTGCGGCCACCCTTTTCGCTTGTTGGGGGCATCATCACAGGAGCACCTGTCGCACATGTCGTCATAGATGGCAAGTCCCAGTACTTGCGTGAGCGGCTCAATGGAAAGACGATCTATGGGTAGGGAAAACAGCTCCATGGTCAGTTCCCAACAGCTATATCTGACTGGAATGGTTCCTGCTGGAGGTTGCTTTGTTGAAAGACATTGATGGTGTGTGGGTGGCTGTAGTTACAACCTCGCCATCCGCCTGTCAAGGTTAAGACACTGGCCATTAGGCAGCCTTGAAGAAACTCGGTCTGCACACATAACCAACTGATTGCGAAACCTGGACTGGACCGACATTGGCTTTTGAGCGGTCACTTGGCGTGTGTAGCCGGTGCCAACTTGGGTGATACCGAAACGAGACTTAATTGGACATACCTCGATCCACGGCTTTTTAGCTGCTGAATGGACTTCAGAATGATATGCCAGCTGGAACGGGCCCGGAGCGATGCAAAGGTGGGAGGGCAGGATGCAAGTACTCAGAATCTACTAAACAGTTGCTGACCTTGGCTTTGGTGATAACTGTTCGACAGTTCCAGTCTCCCATAGATAAGTGTTGACGACCTGAGCGTTTCAGAGACTTGCAACCCGCGAGACCGACATAAGGGCAGACAGTGGCCGACTCACTTTTTTCTTCTTGTACCCGAAGGAAATCGACTGCAAATATACAAGCAATTGAGCTCAAGCAAATGGCACCAGGCAAGGTGCTCAATTCTCTCTCACAGAACAGGTACTGCTGTGTATGTCAACGGCAAAGTCTGTGTCGCGTCTGCATAAACATGTGTCAAGGGGAATTCCAAAGGTTGCCCATACCCAATACCGAACATTATTCACTCCTCGAATCCCCCTATGCTACGTACAGCCTCGACCAGTCGTTGATGCTCTCTCAACAGCTCACCCACCTCGGAAACCCTCAGATCCCCTTCTTCACATTCCATGAAACGTCGGTTTGGTGGCGGAAGTCGGAGTGACACATTCGACGTCCCTAGCGTTGAACTCCTACCCACCGTGTGTGCCTACAATCGAGACGTTAGCTGGATGCGTTGGGAAAGGCACAAGACTGGGAAAACGACCTTTGGCCCTTCATGATGAGACAGTCTGTGGTAACCATCTCTGCACTGACTACGCTCTGGCCCGGAATCAACGCGCGCAAGACACAGAAAGACGTGTCAAACACGCCTGTGATGACCTTGTTTGCTGATCCCGCAGTAACATCAACGTCCTGCTCCACGCGTCCCCGAAGACCGGACGGTGTCCCAATGAAGCATGAAGGCGCCTCTGGGGTCGTAGGTGTGGTCGCTGTCACAGCTCGCATAATCGGTATCGGAGTCAGGTCTGCCGTACTGGAAACCGAGAAAGAGACCGTCAACAAAGCAATTCCCGGGGGTCGCCGAATATACAAACTCAATAATGAGAGAGGGTGTAAAGATGCTAGCTTACTTAGGGACCAGATAATTAATGTGTATACTTCGTCGGATGCCGAAGAGCAGTCTTCAGTGCTGGTGCCTTGCGGTGACGATGGTCAAGCATGATAACTTGAACTGGCCAGTTTCATCACTACATCTAATCAGCGTGCCTGGAACCCATGCACGCTAATCATGGTCCTGGCCTCCCGCCTGTTGGGGTCAATAGATATGCCTTGGCTTTTGGAAAGGTCACGGATAAATGTGTACCTCGCACCCCTTGGAGAACAACTCGAGATCTTCTTCTGCATAAGACACGTTTACACGACCAGCAGTCCGTTGTCTCGTCCTTGCAAATTGCACCAACGGGCGGACAATGCGCGTCAATTTACGACTGCTGCAAGCATACAGAGCCAAAAAATCGTCATGATAGTCAAAATGCAGCCAGTAGCAGTTATAGATTGTCTACCTCTAGAATTGTTCTCTCGGATTCTCCACTTCGCTCTTTCCATGACTAGTCAGCGCGAGTGGCGCCTGCATCCCCGCCAGAAACAACAACTCGCAGGGGTATCTCGCCGGTGGAGGGACGTCATTCTGAACACTCCATCCCTATGGTCTACTATCTGCACGCGTCCTATTTGGGCCCTGTTAGACGTGGAGATGCATGTGGAAAGGAGTCGCGACCATCCGCTTGACATTATAGTTTTCGAGTGGTGGTACAGCTACGGATTTGTTGCATTTCTTCATCCCATTCTTCCCTATACACACCGTTGGCGCAGCCTTACTATCCACACTGGTGTGGCAGACCCACACTCCCTTCTCCATGATCTCAGCGAGCTATCTTTTCCCTGTCTCAAACGCGTAAATGTCCAAGGTTCACGGAGATTTGATGTCGAATTTCCCACCGCAGATAGCACTCCTGTCCTCAATCAATTGATTATCCAAAATTGTCGCCTTCCAAAGAGTTTGCTCCCTTCTCTGGAAAAGCTGACGACCCTTGCGCTCTGCGGAGAGATAGGTCACTGGCAACTCGAACCATAGTCTCTTCGTTTACCATTGCTGAGATCGCTCACAATAGACATCGACAATCCGAGCATGCTAGTGAAGGCGATCGTAGCCCCGGAACTTTCTTGCTTTGATTTCAATTTTGATGAATCGGCCGCAGTTTTCGGCGGGATTCCTTCCGCATTCAACAAGGTTCATTATGTTTGTCTCCGCTCTTCGACTAGGAACCCCATTGCAACAGTGTGCCAGGCGTTCCCTAATGTACGCCACTTCGAAATGGGAGAACATGCATGCGGATTTTTCCATGGTTTGAGGGAAAGGACTGACCTCTGGGTCGACCTGGAATCTATAACTCTTTGCTCTCTACGTATAGACGTCTTGGAAGGGGCAGTCAACGAACTTCGAGAATGGTTTCTGCAACGGAAACCGACGGCAAAACCATTACACGTGCGTTTCACACGTATCAAGAATCCTACGTGCTGGAAGAGGACAGGGCGTCTTCTTTCAATGCTTTATGACTCATTACACGAATATTGTACCTTCGCGGTCGACCGGTTCCCAATCATGGAACAAACGAAGGTGACTTCTTTGACTCCTACACTTCATATGGTATGCAAATTCAACCATGGTGAATCCTGGCTTTAATGTTCATTCCTCACAATATTTATGATACAGGATCTCCCAGGCGTTCCATCTTGCGTTGTCAATGTGCGTCTGGAGCAGGACGTTCCTTGGCGAGAATCGACAGATGACTTTCAGAATGTATCGGAAGATGAATCTAGTGAGATCGCAAAGGATGATGATTTGGAGGACAATTGGGGTGACTGGTGGGCAGATTCGGACGTCGATTATGGTAATCAATGATGTGTCCCTCTCGCTGAGGAACATCGATTTTGTTCTGGCTTAGCCGATGATATTCCACATAGAAGCTTTCGCGCACACCGTGATCGTGCTTGCGATCGGTCAATACTACTGACATAAAACTCTTGCGTTCAGTTGTTCCCACGCAGTCGAACTCCAAAATCCCTGTCCAATCGTGAGCTTGTCAGTATCTCGTCATGGTTGCGGAGCGTAAAACCTGTTCTACGGATCCTCTCATTCTAGCGCGGTCGGCCATGAGCGCGGCTGGTGATGACACAGAACTTCCGCGTGCACGTTAGCCCAACTGAAGGGGTAATGAGTAGATATGAGGTCCGAAGTGCGGGCAGAGTGGTGCTGACATCTATCGATCCAAATTTATCTGACTGTCCACTCGGCTCCCCGTATCGCCCAATGGCCGGAGGATGGATCCAGGTATATCACAGAATCAGACATATTCGCCGAGTGGACCGTCCCGTCATGGGAGATACGTTCTTGTTATTTCCGATCCTGCGTTCCAACTACGCATGTATGTATACCAGTATAAGTGTATTCTTGTGCTGCTCGATGCGAATTAATATGGAGGTTATACTCTAGGGGGATGCACAGCCATTCACGTTGGCAATATGGTTCCAAGTGCGACTGGCACTCACGATCAGTGTTGCTGCGTACGTCCTCATCGCCACAGGAGTTGACGCCGTCATCGGGGCACCGTACCGCGTCGCTCCACGCTGTAGGCCCGACCCTCAATCGACGTCCTCAACCTCTGCACCAGCCCACCTCGAATTACCCTTCAAAACACGTTCCCTCCGCTTCTTCAGTAACCCCTTGTATGCCTCACACACCCACTTTACATACCCTACGTCCTTTGTCCGGCGTAACGCTACCAGTCGATGATGCAACAGCTCGACGTCGGAGAAACCAATGATAGGTGGGACGCGGTCATCCTTGGGGCCAACGGGAGAAGTGAGTCGGACGAGGGGCTTTGCCACGGAATGAGATGGAGTCGTAGTAGGTATCAGTGAGGGCGAGGATGGGTGAATAGGTTTGGGATTCGTGAGTGTGACTCGTGTCGATAGAATTGGAGGTTTCGCGAATAGAGAGAAAGTGGGTGATTTGTGAACAGCTGGCGTTAATGTAGTAGACTCGGAACTCTTATCCGACGTGATACTTTCAATCCCGAATGGAAGTACTGCCTTGGGAGGATACCGATCCACGAACGCCCGCAATAATATCAATGCACCGTCGACGTCTTCATTCCTACCAAGACCCATCAGTCATCGACACCATAGAATGAACGCCGTAAACACTCACAATATTAGAACCCGTCTCATAGCTGCGTGAACCCTCTCGACCATCCTCGCCCACCTCCCCACATCACTGTACCCCTCTGTCCCTGCTCTCGCCTCTACCCTCTCCCATTCCGTCCACAACTCCCGCGCCCACGATAACACGGCACCCCTCTCCTCCTTCTTCGCCACCGCACATCGCTCGAGAGCATCGAGATAGGTGTGTGCATCGCCTCGGAGTATTCCGCTCTGATTTGGCGTGCCAAAAAGCGACCGGAACACCTCGATCGAGCGCTCGATGCTCGCGTGCACGTAGAAGACGGATAAGTAAGCGTTTACCAATGCGGGTTTAAGTTCGATATTTGCAAATTTGCCTGTAAGAGGGTCATCTACGAACGTGCCTTGATCTGAGAAATGGGATTTAGGAATTGTGTTAGAGCTGGTATCTTGGATGATGCGGTCGAACAGCGCTTGTACTTCTGCCAGAACGTCCGAATGTGTTTGTGGTGGAAGCGGGGGGAATGACGGGGTGGAATTGGTAGGCAGCTGATCCAGTAGAAGCGGAGGCTCTGCCTGCAATGCATCTGCCTCATTTTGTGCCAGCGGATTAGAATGAGAAACAGTGTCCAGGAGTCGAGTAGCAGTTCGGCTGAACGGCGGCTTGTACGACGCATACGAATGGAATATATGCGTTAGCATTTTGGCATCCACACCGCTCGTTCTTGTATTGCCCCCGTCCTCTGGTGTGTCGGAACGCAGAGACTCTGCAAGAATCCACCGTGCCCTGTTCAGATCCCCAACACGCTTGCATCCCTCCAGCAGCGCACACCACATCCGCCTTTGATTTCTCCCTCGCTCCGGATACTTTTCCTTCATTTCTCTCGCTAGCCGCATCCCCTCGCTTAACCACCCCTCACCTGCTCGTCCTAGTACCAACACGATCGCCTCGTAAGCTCCTCGGGTAGGTTCGACTCCGTTCTCCTGCATTTCGGTCCACAAATCTAGGGCTCGCTCCGGCTCAACACGACCGCCTGCAGAGCCACACGCTCGTATCATCACCGCATATAGATATGCATCGGGAGTCGGATGGGCTACATATCGCATGTGAGCGAATAAATCCCATGCATGGGCACGGGCCGCCGATTGACCTAGTCGGGGATCTGACGACGGATGCGTTTGGACGTTAAAGAGCGCAGAAATGGCCCGGGTGTAGGATTTGATGGGGGCAAAGTGACCGGATGCTTCGTAGTTGTGTAGCACATCGAGTGCAGCAGTCGGGAAGACAGGACGAGTGGAGACGCCCAGATCTGGGAACCCCGAAGGAGTGTGGTGACTGGCTCGGAGGTAAGCTTTCACGTGTAAGTCTCGTTGTGTTTCGGTGGGTGGTCCTTCTATGAGTCAACTATCGGGTAAGCATGAGGAATGGAGTATCGCTGTACCTGACAGGATGCGATGCATCAGTGATTCCAGATGGGTCGTATCTCCTTTCGAGGCATATACTCCGAGTACGTGATTCACAGCCTCTTCCGGGATGGTTAATCCCGCTTTCTGGGAGTGCTTCAGCCTTCGAACTTTTAACGGTTTTCACAACACGCACCTGGATGAGAAGAAGGGTTCTCTCGGCAGCGTCGACGTCATTCTCATACACCTATTCGAACGACCGAGTGAACATGCGGAAAAGCACAGATGAAGTAGTACATACGCAACATCTTACGACTGACAACCATTCCGTTTTAGACATTATAGTTGCGAATGCGGGGATAGCCTCGCGGTCGACATTTGGGAGTGCGGTGTCGAGTGAGGCCACGAGACCCTGCAGTTTAGCTATCGCACTTTCTATAAGGTCTAAAACGCGCCGGTGTCCATGTTCTGACTGGATAAGGGGAGGTGCAAACGTCGTGACGCTTTCACGTTGGACAGCCAACCTCCGCGTGAGGCTATTGTCGGCATCGTCTGGAATCGTGGCAGTTGGGGTGAGTCTGGCTTCTATCCGTTTCAGAGCCGCGAAATCCTCTTCTCTAAGGGTCTCCGTCGAATCCGAGGTACACACATCTTGGGAGGGAGAGCCTGCGGGGATGAGGTCGTGGTAAAGTACATACAATTCGTCGTCGGACGCGGAACCGGGTGGATTTTCAGCAGTCTAGTTGAGGGTGCGTCAATAGAGAGACCAGGTAACATCAGTCCACACACCTGGACAGCGCTGATGATGTTCCAAGCGACGTTGTGCAGTGCCTGTAATTTCTTTTCCAGTGACGCAGGACCATGGTAGACGACTGGGAGCTGCTGTGGGTGTGGCCGGAGTTGTACTGCGGCTATTTGGTGTATTCTGCGTGGTACGCCAACTGCACGCGGGACCACCCTCATATTTTCAGAGTTGGATGCATCTTTGACGGAGGTCCGAGGATGTCTCTTGGTGGATTATGTCAGCAGAGACCCCTTAGACGAGGACGGGTCCGGTTGTACTGTCTGTGTGGTGAGTCTACGGGGATCATCAGAGCAGAGATTCTAGACCCCCTGTCGTCGCAGTGCGTGGCGTGAGTCCAATTAACGTGCCACTGCCAGGACGAGGACACTTCGATTCCACCTTTCCACGCCGATAGCCCATTCACCGACATGTCTGCCAGACGCGATTTTCCAGCGACATCCATCGGTCGGTCCCACACAGCCAACATCACACGCACGGACTCTCGCGAGAGTCTGACAGCCCATCCACTGCTATCGACTTCATCCGTGCCTCCTACTTCCACTCCAATCACAGACCTCACCGTAGCACAGTCTTCGAACTCAAAGTATGTCCCTTACACGCCCAGACAGCGGCCAGCCTCGTCTGGCTCACCCGTCCAACCCGTCATCTCGGTGTCACCTCAGCAAACGCAGTCTCAGTCTCAAGGCGCTGCTACGGGGAAGCTACAGATGATGAACCTCAAGGCAGCCGCACAGGGCATTGGGCTCGACTCGGCGTCTATTGGCTGGGCCATTCTAGAGAAGATATCATACGAAGGCGATACCACAGACGAGTGGGCCGAAATATGGAACGCCATCACCAAGGGTAAGGTTAGTATCCCTCGTCCCGCATATCGACTTTGTGCTATGTGCTCGTCGTGACGTGGTACTCACTCGGCGTACTTCAAGGCATCCCTACTCCTCCCGCTTGAGCAATCCACAGGACACGAGAAGATCACACCCGAGTTTGTCCAGGATCATACTATTGTGTGCAATACTCATTCCAGAGATGACACCCCCATCATAACGCTCTCAGGCCTACGAGGCCAACTCGTCAAGTATATCAATTAGCGCTGACCCGAAACCTCGCTGACGGTGCTCTATAGTGACGTCCTTACACTACGCTCGACGATCCCACATACGACCAAGCAGTTCCAGGAACTCTTCGTATCGTCATCGTCTTCCAGGATCTCGCTTCTCAACTCCCTACCTCCCCTCCCATTTTACCCTCCAGAATCTTCCTATCCTACGTTCTCCGTGCCATCCCATGCATCTCTACCACTTCCACCTCGGGCATCGAAACCTCCCCTTCCGCCGCGACCAAACCCTCGCTTAGCGCCCTCACAACCCCCCTCTCGTCTTTCGATGCCTTTCGCTTCCTTCTTCGGACAGAAGCCTCCTACAGTCGCCGCTCCCACATCAACCCCTCTACCTTCCGGATCCTCGTCTGCATCGTCCGCATTGGGAGCTCTCAGCCCGTCCGCCCCTCAACCTTACACACCGACGACGACAACGGCCGATGCCGATTCTCCTCTCGAAGTATCCGCATTTACCATCGGTGCCGCCATATCCCGCCAAGATGTCGCCACGGAGATCATTGCTGCACTTAACGGCGAAATTGCCATGTCACTCAACGATCAACCACCATGGGTCGTCGACCGCGTACAAACGTTTGCGTCACCGCTGCTTCCATTCGTGAGAGCACCCCCGGGAGGAAAGAAGAAGCTACAAGATTTGGTAGGGAGTCCTGGAAGAATCAAGTATGTAGCCAACCATGCGCAGCAGGGGACGCCAGAAGAGTTGTCCCAGAAGTTCCAGGAGTTTTACAGCGCTATGGCGGCAGAATTGCACAAGGAGGGACGGAGCGTAGAATGCGAGGAACACAAGGAAAGTATTTCCTCCGAGCACGAGGATAAGCTTGAGGGGGAAGTCGAGGATAACGAGAAAGAGATCGAGGAGAGAGAATTTAGGATTCGGGATGTTCTGGAAACGATAGAGGCCACCCTATGCAGCCTCTTATACGACAGGTATGTTGTTGAGGACCAGTTTCGGCATGCATGTTTGCTCAGAACGTCATTACAGGCTATTCTTGCCGACCGGGTCTGACGATGCGTCCCACGACGAGGCGCTCTCCAGTCGGATAGCTGCACTCAACGTACTCGACCTGGGATTGGAACATCTCGATGTGGACGTGGGAAGCGCCAGTCCTGAAGAGTTGAATGCTGTTATACGAGCATGTGGAGAAAGTGGGGTCCTTTCTCTCTAGCTGACTATCTGTACTCACTCATTTCCAACTAGCTCTTGCACAGTTAGATCTGGCAAGTCGGGCTCCGCGAGATAAGGCCATCGTTCTCGTCTCTGCACACAAGATAATAGTCGGTGAGTTTTCCGGCAATCCAAGCTTGGGGACTTACTTTCACTTAATGACAAATTTCAGATGGACTGTCCAAGGTCCCTCCTCTGCGCTTGAGGAGTGGCGAGAGCCCCAAAACAACCCCTCCCCCACCCAATCCTCCTGCCCTTGCACCCACTAATGAGCCTGGTAATGCACTCCAAGTACTCGTAACCTCACCCTCTGAAATCAAGAGCGACGACCACAATCCCACACAGATTGCAGAATCGGCACTTTTTCAGCGATCACCTAAACTCGAGCACACGGCTCTTTCCACCCCTCTTCCCGAACCTCAAGCCACCCCAACGCCTGTATCAGGCGATGTCCTCTTCCCATTACTCATTTTTTCCGCCGTCAAAGCCAACCCACCACACCTTGTCTCCCACCTACTCTTCACACAGCGTTTCCGCAACCAGGCATTCGGCGGAGAAGAAGGATACTGTCTGATTAATTTAATGGCTGTCGCCGAGTTCTTGGAAAACGTCGACTTAGACGCACTTGGATTGAAAGATAGTCAGAAAGTCGTCAGGTATGCTCCAGTTCCTTTCGTATATTCGGCGACCCCAGGAATTGCTTCGTTGACCGTCTCCGTCTCGGTTTCCAGTACGGCAGACCTGACTCCGATACCGATTATGCGAGCTGTGACAGCGACCACACCTACGACACCAGAGGCACCCTCATTCTTCATTGGGACACCGTCCGGTTTTCGGGGACGCGTGGAGCAGGGCGTTGATGTTATTGCGGGATCAGCAAACAAGGTCATCACAGGCGTGTTTGACACGTCTTTCGGTGTATTGCGCGCGCTGATCCCGGGCCAGAGCGTCGTCAGTGCAGAGACAATGACCAAAACCAGCTCAGGAACTGGAGATGGGAGTGGGAGTGTAACTGGAGAAGGTGGTACGGCACCTGCCAAAGGCGCCACGAATACAGACCCCGCGGAACCATCAACGATGATGACATCTTCATTATCGCCACTAGTCGCTGGAGCTGGGGCTTGGGGAAGCGGCGTAAATCTTTTGCGCCGTGACAGCGGATTCTCGCTTGCTAGTTTAGCTGCGTCATTGCCGGGCGGGCAAGGTACGAGGTCCAGAGCATCGAGTAACGTGGATGGGACGGGGCAAAGGGAGCTTGTGGAGGTGTCCTCGAGACCTGCGTCTGTGAAGTCGTCTTCTGGGAGAGATGAGGAGGGCGAGGATGGTGGGGACGCCAGTGAAGATAATGACGAAAGTGGAGAGGATGAAGACGAAGATGAAGAGGAGGAAGGAGAGGAAGAGGAAGAGGAGGCTCATGATGCGAGGAGTATCAAGAGCTTCGAAAGTATGTTGAGTAGCAGTCGGAAGAAGCGTCGCTCTGCTGCTGCTGCCAGTACTGCTGCAAGAAAGAGCCTTACCGATCGACTGAGCAATATGCCGGGACTGTCCAGACTGTCTCATCATGAAGGGCCAAAGGTCGTTTGTCCAGTCTTGTGCTTTTCCCAACGCATCCAGCTAACGTCTCGATTGTAGGCACACACGGTGGGTAGGAGTTCAACACTAGGGACGTCGAATGTGTCACTCCGACTTCCGCCACCAAACCGACGTTTCATGGAATGTGAAGGGGATCTGAGGGTTTCCGAGGTGGGTGAGCTGTTGAGAGAGTATCAACGACTGGTCGAGGCTGTACGTAGCATAGGGGGATTCGAGGAGTGAATCATGTTCGGTACTATCGGGTATGGGCTTTCTCCCGGAATCGGGCAGGACCATGGTCGACCCATAATCAAGCGGATTCAACAACATTTGGAATGCCCCTGACACATGTTTATGCACGCCCGACAAAGGCTTCGCCATTGATCCACACAGCACTAGGTGGAAGTACCTGTTCTGTGAGAGAGAACTGAGCATCTTGCCTGGTGCCATACATATGTTTGAGCTCAATAGCTTGTATATTTGCAGTCGACCTCCCCTTTGGGTACAAGAAGCAACAACAATCCTGAGCGTTTTAAAAGCGAGTCTTAGCCATCGTCTGCCTTCATGTCAGTCTCGCGGGCTGCAATGGGCTGGAGTCTCTCCAGACCCCATCCGATCACGTGACATCTCTTGCCTCCCGTCCCTCCCGCTTTCGCGTCGGGCCGTTCCAGCTGGCATATCATTCTGAAGTCCATTCAGCGGCCAAAGAGCCGTGGATCGAAGTATGTCCGACTAAGTTTCGCTTTAGTATCACTCAAGTTGGCACCGGCTACATACGCCAAGTGACCGGTGACCCCCCCCCCCCCCAAAAAAAAAAAAGCCAATGTCAGTCCAGGTTTCGCAATGAGCTCTGTGTACAGACCGGGTTTGTTCAAGGCTGATACGGCCTAATTCCCAGTGTCTTAACCTTGACAGGCAGATGACAAGGCTGGAATTACAGCCACCCACTCACCGTCCAGTAACGAATGTATTTTAACAAAACAGCCTCCAGCGAGAACCATTCCAGTCAAATATAGCTGATGGATATCGCCCATAGAGTTGTTTTCTCGACCCATAGATCGTCTTCTTTTTGAGCTGCTCACGCAAGTACTGGAGCTCGCCATCTATGACGAAATGTGCGACAGGTGCTCCTGCGATGATGCCCCCAACAAGCGATCGGAGTGCCCACAAGTGTGTCGCGGCGCTGGCGGGACACTTGTTTCACCCTCATTTTTGGACTTCTATCCAGCTGTGCCCAAAAAATTCACCCTCGTAGGTGAAAGTACAAGTGCAAAGCAGTCATGCGTGTCTCATCGATATCTACGTCTGCTTCTATCAGTGTTTGCCTTCAGAGTCCTTGGATGCGCGAGAGGACAATTTATGGACACTTCCTGCTGCTGCCTTCTCGTCTTCAGAATGGTGGCATAGTGTGACTATCCTGTTTTTGCTGTTATGCCTCTGTTGAGGGTCTTTCCTTTTTCGACTTCTTGCGGTCACATGTGTCACATGCCTTGTTGTGTCACTCGTAGTTGTCGCCATCCTAGGGGCTTGAATGCTCCAGGGAATGTTCAGATCTCCTGCTGTCAAGGTATTTCCAATACCTGTTGAGACTGCATTGCTGCTGTGATCCGGTATTCCACCGCCCTTTCTGATGGACAACTTGTTACATGCCTTGTTTTTGGCTCATCTCTGACTTGTTTATATTGCTTAGATGTTGTACTATAGCTCTGGTGTCAGGCTCCTCACTGCGCATTGATTGTGCAGCCGGTATAGCCTTCATTACCCCCCAACCCCCATCATTGACACCATATGACTCTTGTCTGTTTCACTGATGGGATTGTTGATTACTGCAGATACACATCGCGACTGGTATGGTACTTGTACTTAGAGGTATATAAACCCATGTACTTTGTCCTGTATCTGCAGTTTTTCGATAGCTTGCAACTGAGCTTCATCCCTTTGCCTTAATCCTTGTTCTCTCTCCATGTGAACAACCTTAAAAGACTTGCCAGCAGACAGAACCTCTGTCGGATCATTGCAATAACTCAGCCATAGGGGTTATGACAAGTTCAGCCCATAGACTCCCACCTCATGCACTTCATGCCTATTCCATTTGAAGAAGTCACTGCCCTCGGGCATAACAAAATCAAAAAACTCCATGCAGCTTTTGGGACTCGTTGACCTCTTCGCAAAAGTCTACTCATCCCTGGTTACTGAACTTCAACAAACCAACTCTATCTACCAAAGGCTTGTTGGTCTCCCTCAGTGTAAAGACTAACTTGCCTTTCCTTCTGCTCCTCAACTTGACCAACAAATTGATAACAAAAATTGAGAAGCACCCCTCTACCCTCAATCAAATCCATCACTCTACAGGCAGCCACTAGGCTTTAATAGATCGCCTCCCTAGAGTTCATGCTTGTGTCTCCCTACGTGTAAAGCCACTCACACACCACCAACAACCCTTGTGCTGACAGGTTTCTTTTGAGAAATAAATCCTCCCTCAGCCTTTGTTATCACTTCCCATTAAAGTGTCTAACCCACAGAAATCGAGACCCCCTGTCCCTCCTCATCCAAATCCCCTTGGGCTTGGTAGGAATCCCCTGCTGCCACCCATCCCGTTAGGAAGACTTGGACCCTTGGTTACCACCACCAATCCCCACTTGTCTTATCTATCCCGGTTTAGGGATTTGGAAGTCGCGCTTAGTTCAGAAGAAGAAGATGATCAGAAGTCCGATACTTTGTTTGGATCAGTCCTCAAGGAAGAACAAGAAGCACACAAGTCACCAAATATGTCCATGACACTTGGTCATGGAGAGTCAGCTCCTGAAATGCCTACAAGGTCCATTTCTGAAGAGGAGTTGAGACAGAGGTTGGAAGAACAAAGACTCACTATGGCAGAAGAGCTTTGCAAGGTGATGCAGGCCTGGAATAGTGACCCTTTTCCAACAGGAACACCTACGGACTTGGCATTATGCAAATGGTATGCCAGGAACTTTGGAAAGGTAATTCCCCCAGAGGGCCCCTTCGGAGGGTCCAGTAAGGGTAAGGCCCCAGCTGATCCTGATGACCAGTATGATTGCCACCCACCCAACGGAGGTCAGGAGTTTAATGTCAGGCATCCTGGAGAATATGATGGAAGCCACAATGGGCTTCAGACCTGGGTCATGCAGGTCGAAGGTTACTTGAACCTGAACAAGCATGTGTACAACATGGAGTCACTCGAGATTTCGTTCGCCCTCATGTACATGATGAAAGGCGCAGCTGTTTCCTTCACTGAAAATTACCAGAACAAAAACAAGCTTCTCGATGGAACAATCTACTACACCAATACCTTTCAAAGGTTTGTCGAGCACCTTAAAGCTACTTTCAAGTCTGGCAATCAAACTGCTCTCACAATACTCTGCCTTTCTGACATCACCCAAGGCAAACGAGAACTTGAGGTGTACATAGCTGAGTTTACAGGGCTTGTCAACAAGGCTCAGCTTAAAGAAGAATCATGTGAAGCAGGGATCTTCTTCAGAAAAGGATTGAATAAAGAATATTGCAACTGGGTTCTCAATTCTGGATGCACCCCTTCCACAGTCATAGAGTGGATACAGTGTGCAGGAGAAGCTTGAACCACGATTGTGATGAAGCATATCCTAGAAGGGAAGGAATCTCGGTATGAAAGGAAATTCATTCATTACTGCAGAGGTTCCTGAGATCCTGATGCGATGGATGTTGACAAACACAAATGGAATGTTAGACGCTCCAGTTCAGAAATTAAATGCTTCAATTGTGGAGCGGAAGGTCACTACAAGCGTGACTGCAAATCCAAAGGCAAACAACTTCCCCAGATCTGCATAGTCCTATCAGAGGATGGCATGAGGACCATGTATATCAGAGATCATGAAGCAACAGCGGAAGAGAGGAAGAAGTTTGGGGTGGATTTTTAAAGGGGACTGACAATCCTCCTGCTACAGTCAGTCCCGTTTCTGTGTTGTCTGCTAAGTACACTTCTGTAGATGATGAATTGACAATGCAGTCGTGTTCACCTGTCGGAAGGGTCGTGCTACCAGACTACAATGCAGGAGTAGTAGTGTGTATCGATTCAGGAGCTGAGGTCTCCTTGATATTGGAAAGGATTGTTCAGAAGATCGGTATTACGACATACCGAGTCAAGAATAAGTTCAAGACGACCTTGTTCACCAGGAAGGATGTAGAATGGGTCACTCACAAGGTAACCCTTTGGATAATCATCAAGAACCGGGTGGTTCAGGTCAAGTGCTATGTCGGTCCATTAGTAGGAAAGGAACACATTCTCCTTGGAATGCCATTCTTGAAGGAATTCAAACCCTGCATGAACTGGGAAACTGGTAGGATATCATGTTGGGATGACAGGTATGTTCCTACTTCAGAGACTGATGCTTACATCAAACAGATAGTCCCTACCTATGAGGGACAGGCAACCGAACCTCAAACTGGAGGTTTGGAAAAGCAAGAAACAGGTCAAGTACCTGTTGCCATTAACAAAACTACTCTCTCCACAGAACTAGAGGCAGCCCTTGCCACAACCAAAGAGGAAGTCAAGCTTCCAGAGGAGTACAAAGAGTTTGCAAGGGTGTTCTCAGAAGATGATATCCTGCTCCTGGCACATCACCCCGGGTTGGATCACGAAATATGACTTCATGATGATTTCAAACCAAAGAAAGCAGTGGTATATCCAATGTCTCCTGATGAACTGAAAGTCCTAGATGAGTTCTTGGAGGAAAATCTGAAATATCAGAAGATTCGACCATCAACCTTGCCTCAAGCAGCACTGGTGTTCTTTGTAGCAAAGAAGGATGGAAAGAAGTGATTAATTCAAGATCATTGCTACCTCAATTTGTTCACCATCCCAGATGCACATCCTTTGCCGAACGCACAGGCCTTGCTTGATGAACTAGTCGAATCAAAATACTATGCCAAGTTTGACATTCATTGGGGCTTCACTAACCTCAGAGTCAAAGAAGGAGACAAGTGGAAAGGGGCATTTATCACCCCTCATGGCCTGTTTGAACCTATGGTAATGTTCTTCAGGCAGTGTAACTCACCTCCCTCTTTCCAAAGGTATATGGATTGAACCTTTGATTCCCAATGAGGAAAACAGGTAGGTTATATGGACGATGTGGCGATCCACAGAAAAACCAAGGAAGAACTTCAAACTCAGGTTCACGAGTTCCTGAAGATCTGTGAAAAAGAAGGGCTGCACCTCAAGATCAGCAAATGTGTCTTCAAGGCTGAAGAAATTGAATTCCTCAGAATGATAATTGGCAAAGGGTGTATGGAGACTTCGCCAATGAAGACCGATGCCATCAGTACTTGGGAGGCCCCAGACAGTTTAACTGGCCTCCATTGATTTCTCAGGTTCTGCAATTTCTACCGAAAATTCATCCCTTCCTTTTCAAGCATCACTCATCCCTTACATGACCTGACTAAGAAAGGGGTGTCCTATCAATGGACTCT